TTTCAAAATTACAAAGCATAATATTGTTTTCTTTGCAAACCCATAATTCTGTAAAAAAGGATACTTATTTTCTAAGTATTAATGTGCATTTTGATTATTAATATTATAATAATTACTATTATGATTAATGACCCATTCACATAACTTTTTCTGTATTGGATATTTAGTATGATTTTTTATTTGATTCCTACAATTAAAAATAGCTTTGTGTGATTATTATAACATTTAATTTGGATTTTTCAAAAAGTACATACTTTTGTTTTTGTTTTTATATATGTGTATTTTTAAAGGGTGTCTTGCATACATAATTTGTGTATACTTTGTGCTACATAGTAAACTACACCACCTGTAAAGTAAACCTAATTTTTAGATACTTGCCTTATGTTAGATTTCTTTTATTTTATAAAACATAAACCTGCTGTTATTTAAAGCAAAAAAAATCTGTCCAATGCATGCCAGAAATCCAAACTTAAGTATCAGAAGGAAAGGTTGATTTTCTGCTGTATGTTTTCAATAGTAAAGATGGGCAGAAATATCTGTCACATCATCATGTAAACTGATCTGTGCACAGTAAAGCTCTTAGATAATGGCTCCAGAGAAAGATTAGTTATTATGTATGCAGAACAAAATCATCACTCTGTGACTCAAAATACAAAAATACTGAAAGCAGGGATGGTGGTTTTATTTAGTAATATTTCATTTTTAGAAACAGTCTTGCATGCGAAATGTATGCACAAATGTGACTTAAATAACTTATTAAATTTGAACATAAGATAGATAAAAATAATTAATTTATCTTCAGGCCTGGAGAATATTTTTCTCTGACTGAAGTGCACAGAAACACATATCTGTTACTTTACATGGCTATGAAATGCAAGTCTCGTATCTCCCTTAACATCATCCAGCAGTTCGGACATTCCCCACAAATAAGACTTTTTTTTGCAGTGCAAGTAGTTCAGTAGATAATTACCTACAGGGAAGAAGTAAGGTTAGTTTGAATCATCTCATTGTTAGTAAAAGAGTACAGTTTTCTTTTTCAGAATAATGTTCAATGTTTTCATGGTGAAATGAGTTTTTTAGTAATGCAGTTTGATATCTTTGCTTTTAAAGGTGGTATAAATTATTATTGTTGTTTCAATATAATATTTGATGCCATTTATTTACTCATTAAAGTGAAGAATTCTTAAAAAGAAAAAGGGTAACTTTTATAGTAGCACCAAGGGTGTAAAACTGTTGTCTTGTAAAAAACATGAGTCAATAATTTGTTTAAAGAGAATACAAGCATTTTATGTTGTTTCTAAACTTTGAGTGAGAAAAATAAGCTTAAGTAAGTCTTTAGTTGTACTCTATTCAGTTAAAATGACTTTTTCAATGTGATTTTGTTATTTAGAACACTCGGCAAGAGTGACTTATAGATTTTGCTGTCTTAACATGGACTTACAGCCTTTCTAAGCAGCTTATACACAGACTAAATTAAAAAGGTGAAAACTTGATTTGTTATCTGCACAGTTATACGTCTATACTTAAAGAAACGGGAAACCCATATATTGATGAATATAATGTAAATACCAAAAAATGTTTGTTACACTGAACTATAATGAGCTTCATTTTAACTTTGAAAAAATATTTATACTGAGCATCAGAAGAAAATATTACATTATTTTTATTATATGATTTATATAATTTTAATATAAATTATCATTATTAAATGTTTATGACATAACATTTATTGATTGATCATGACTGTTATACACTCCAGTGAATTTGACAATTGTATAAGTACTAAATTAGTGAGAAGAATTGAATGGCAACAGGTGATGAGTTGATTTAACTGGTTGAATATGAAGCTTTGTGAAAATCAAGATAAATAACTTGAATCTAATATGCCCTGCTTATTAAGCAAACAATGATGGAATTAATGAGTACACTTGACACCATGGATGTTCATAGCTAGGAAATTATAATCTGGCAAGATGTTAAAGCCAAACACAGCCTGTCAATGAGAGGCCATGATCGTGAAGACCGCAGGGCAGAAAACCTTGCCAAGATCAATGGAGAGGTCCAAGTGTGATGGTCTTGGCAGGAGTGCCTTGATACTGCAGCTCTCCACATATATTCACAACTACACTACACTTCACTGATCAAGTTCTGGAACTTCACTTGCTGTATTTTCTGTAGACTCCTGATGAGACCACATTCCACACAAAGCATGATCCTTATATTGTTGTTGTAAAAATGACTTTCTTGGAAGATGAGAATGTCACAGTTATGCTACAGATGTCGTACTCTTTAGAATTGAATCCCATTATAATTTTGTGGCATGAGCAGGGTTGATGTGGCAGTTGGGGCTTAGAGATAATAAGAGGAAGTACAGATTTCCCATAAAACGGCATTTGTAATATATGTTTTATTTCCAACAGTGGCAACACACATTATTAGCCTATCATTTTCACAGTAAGTAGGTCCACCATTGATAATCCTGTTCAATATAATGTCAGATGTCAAAAATGACTTAGTCATTTTCCTGATAATAAATTTGTCAATTTGTTGAATTTGTGATGGCTTTATTTTATGTTCAGTATACAAAGAATTGTGATATAAAATAAACTGGATTATCACAATGATTTTGAGAACAGGGTTATTCGTATTTCCTTGTCTTGTCTCATAAAAACAGCTTTAATTAATTTTTCAGGTTTTCCACCAAATCTGTTCTTCTCTTTCTGGAAGAAAGAAACTGGAATGCTGTACATGTAGGTTTAAATTCTGTTTGAACCACTGCACTTTTACCATTGAGCAAGATACTTCTCTCAGATGCTTCAGTAAAGAAATGCAAGGCTGTATTAGTGTATGCAAATGTATGTTGTAATTAACAATATCATAGAAAAATAAAGAGATGTTCATCATACAGGATAAAAAATTAGACACTTTATGGAATGGTAGAATTTTGTAACAATGTTTTTCTTAAACACATGACATAATAAATTCAGTTTGTGTCATATCTCCTGTTGCTTTTAGTACAGTATCTCATAGAAATGTACAGTATCTCTTAGAAATGTGCAGTGCATAATTTTTTAATGCTGCTTCATAACCGCATGTGAGATAATACAATATATCTGTACTTTGAAGACCACTCCACTACACTAAAACCACAGCAAGGAAATAATAATTTCAGTTACCAATGATATAACTAAGATTTTTTAGTGGGAAGTACTATTTTTTTCTTTTTTTAAATTGGAATACAGTGTACATACATTCGGTGTGTACTGAATGTTCTAAAAGAGCCAGACTTCCTAGCACCTACATGTAACTCATGGCCTTTCAGCAACGAAACTGTATTTGCCCAGGATCTAAGAAACTGGCATCCATGCATAATGGACTGGTTAGAAATTTGTATTTAACTTAGATCTTTTATAGCCATTCTCCAATATGTAGAAGTCAGTGCTCATTTGCCTGCAGTCTTCGAAGTGCTCTCTGACCTTAATCATGATGATGTCTGCTACTACTGAATGTTTTCTGTGCGTTATCTCCTTTCCCAGAGGAACAGGAAACTTTCAGAAGCCTCTGTATGGTTCCAGAGGCTTTTCTTGCACTTCCAAAAAGTAGAATGTTACCTTAGACTTGTTTTTGTTAAATTTTATTTAAAACAATATTTACTGTAGCCAAGGTGTGAATTCAGGATTTTAGCTGTGACTTTACTCTGTGTAATACTATTAAGATTTCTGGATAATATATTTTAAGAATTTAAGAAACAATACCCAATTGTACATCTTTCTGTTATTTTATGTTATTATTATTATTATTATTATTATTATTATTATTATTATTATTATTATTATTATTATGGGTGTATTAATAAATTTAGACTGTATATAAACATTTTTTTTCAAAATATCCAGAATTAAAGAAAGTAAAAATATATATTTTTTACACATTTACAGAGGAATAATAAACAGTAACAAGAATAATATGGGCATTTGGCAAGAGAGAATAATAACAACCCACCAGAACATATTTAATCCCATTTTATTTTTAAGATCACCTTTATGTTCTTTTTATGACCTATATTTGTAACATCAGAACAACTGTGGCTCAAGGCACTGAGTCATACTTAAGTCCAGATTAATCTGAGCGGTTAATGGACCATTTATCTTATATTAACAAACACAGAAAACAAAAATTGAGAGATATTTAAGACAAAGTGCATAACTAGTATTAATACATAGCCAGAATACAGTAAAATACATTTAAAAGCAGACATTGGGTAAGGCTGTGCTAATGCATTAGATTAACGTTTTTGACAAAGGTGTCAAACAGGCATCACAAAAGGTGACAAAACTCATAAAGCAAGGTGGGAGCTGATTTTATTTCTGTGACTCATTGCCACCAAAGTCACTTTTCTTTCTAGCTCCCGACCAGATTTTGTCTTATTCAGCACAGAAACTCCTTAGGTTCTCCTTAGGTTACCGAGAAAGAAAGAATGGGTGTTTGAGGGAAGGATTGAGCTAAGAATTGAATATAGTAACGATGCAGTCGATAGTGAATAACAGAGGGCAGCTGTGAGAAGCTACAGTATGTAGCTTTGTGACAGAGGATTCTGTTCACAGAGGAATTAAGTTGATGCCAACATAGACATTTTTTATTGTTGATCAAAGAAAGAATCAAATACTTTCTATTGTTTGAGACATATACATTGTTTTTACTTTCTTTTTGATAAACTTAATACAATATAAACTTGTATATATAAAAATGTTGTAGAAATCAGTTACAAAAAATGCTGTTTTGTTAACCACACTTGTAATACCAGTCCATTTCAGCACTCCTGCAGGTTCTATTAGAATCAATAAATGATTACTTATATACATTGTTTTTATTATTATCATTTTTACAGCACTGTTTAAAAATAACTAGATATTAGGAACCTTGAGAGTGTGAATGCAACAAAAAATGTGGCCCACCATGGCTATAGTTCACTAATTCTTTTTTCCCCTTCTTTAAATCAGAACTACGGCCTTACGGAGAAGGCTCTCTCCACTTATGAATATGGACTTGGTGTCCGAAGCAAACCTAGTGGTTTTGCTAGCCTGCATCATCTTGCAGTCCTGGGCTCAGGAGAAAGAATATACAATACGGGAGGAAATTCCTGAAAACATGCAGATTGGCAACCTGCGAAAGGACTTGGACTTGGCATTGGACCCTAACATCAAGCTTTCCTCCCCGCTCCAGTTTAAACCTGTGTATAAAACTGGAGATGTCCCTTTGGTGCGGGTCGAAGCTGACACTGGCAGGATCTTCACCACCTCCAACCGCATAGACCGTGAGAAGCTCTGTTCGGGATTATTCACTGAGAAACGCTGCTACTATGAGATAGAGGTAGCAGTACTGCCTGATGAGATCTTCAGGCTGGTGAAGATCCGTTTCCTGATTGAAGACATCAATGACAATGCTCCACTTTTCCAGTCTACTGTCATTAACATCTCCATCCCTGAGAACACCGCCATCAATTCACGCTACCCAGTTCCCTCTGCTGTAGACCCTGATATTGGCACTAATGGTATCCAGCATTACGAACTTGTAAAGGTAAGTGTATCAATAGTACTAAAAATATTGTCAAATATTCAACTTCATGAAAATATACCATACTAGTTTTTCCCACTGATTAGAAAAAAAAAATGCTATATTTCTCTAATCTATCATATTGTTTTGCTGTAGTTTTATTTGGCTGGATTAGACTTTTCTCTGCATTTGATACGATTATCCAACGTATACGTTTGTAAATTAGAAACATTTTTATGAAAAAATTAAAACAGAGCAATTATGTGTTTAATAAAATGGTAATCAGTATGCTTTCTTGAGATCAAGTTTTTTATGCAGTTACTGAAGTACTATATAATTAAAGTCAAGCTAATTTCCTTGTTAATTCATGAAATCAAAAGGTTTACATCAAATGATTTTTAAAGTGTTTCTTAAAATTATTCAATATAAAATAATAAAAAAAACATATCAATCATTAGTATTACATCTTAATGTATTTAGAAAATAAAACCCCTTAGAACTAATCAAAATAGGTCCTAAGGTGTCACTTGGGAAGCTTTTTGAACAGACTAGTTTGATAGGTTTTGTCTCCAAAAGCCTGGATGAAATCTCTGATTAAAAGCAGCTAACCTACAGACTTCTTTTGCTTTCTGGAGATTAGCAATCATGTTCTTATGCTGGAATTCTTGATCTCACGGTGGGCCTTTCAGCAAATGATGGCTTTGTATTGGGTTGGGGAGAGGGACTCAGTAAATGCACTTACGACACTCACTGTGCTCTAACTTCAGTGATACTACACTTTTATTCTATTAAAATGTGATAACAGCTTTTGTGACATCCATAATGATGGTACTTTAGTGCAAAGTCATCAATGTTTTATTTTAAAGTCTGTCCACAGCAGAATGGTAATAATAATGCATCTTATTAAGTCTTAGGAAAAAGAGGGCAGTGATAAATGGTTTAAGGTAAGGCTCTAATTGCATTAGAATGGAATGAAAAATATTAATGGGTACCTTTTGCAGCACAAAATTAAAGAAGTGCATTTCTTTTCTTGTAGACTAATTTATGTCTTATGAAAAACTAGTGCAGTATTCTCTGTGGCTTAATATAGCCAGATATAGCCTGAAAGTAGGATAATACAGATTATACTTATATTACATGAATACCAAAATAAGAATGGTTACAAACATATGAATACCATTTGGCCCATCAAGATAATTTAGTTTCCAGGTGCTAATTGATCTTATGATCTCTTCTTTCTTGAAAGAAGGCTGGGTAGCTTCTGCAACACTGTGTAAAAACATTTCCCTTTATTTCTTCTTCTTGTCCTCTGGGTCATGTTTCTCTTTTAATCCTCTATTAAGTCAATCAAGTTGTTTTATTCATAAAAAAGTATCAATTAAAATATGTTCAGTTTATAAATAGATGAAGCAAACCCCTGTATTTTCTGTTCAGCACAAAAATCAGATTATAGATAACTGAAGTGCACATTATGGTAAAACATATACAACTGTGTTGACTTTGCAGATCCATACTGTACAGATAAAAAAAAAAACATGACTGCATATTTGTCTTGTTTAGTGCATAAGATCTAGGTCCTTGATCAAAATTATATACTTGGTGAAGTCTTCGAACAGAATATATGATTACTAATAAGTTCTCATACCCACCACATGCTAAAACACTACAACAAATTATAATATAGCACAGAAAATTTTGTTTTTAAAAATCATTCATTGTTTTCTTATTGTTAGCTGTGATGTGAGCAGTATTTTAAAGAGCAAAAGTTCATTTTCTTTGTATCCATGTACAAAGCCACCCAATTAGTGAATGGATCTTGAAAAGGTTGCTGCAGATGTCATTCTTTTGGTTTAGGTCACACTGCACTGCATAAAATGAAAAAAAACAAAACTGCCATTCGACTCTGATTAGTAATTTGTATATTTTTGTGGGAATAAACAGAATCCATCCCTTTAAGTCAATGACTTGATATATTTTAATTGATGTGTGTCTGACTAGAATTATTTTTGCCATCAAAATGACCAGCCTAATGCTCTTCAGCATTAAAGTGCGTAAACATCATGTTTTTAGAACTGAGTTGGCTACCATTTTCTACTGCTATATGTCAATACAAGTTATGTAGTGCAACTAATTTTGAGTGTCCTGAAAGAATCAAATCACATTTGCACCATTTACTTTGAAAATGTAAAGTGAGCATTTTCTAATTAATATAAAGGCAAGGGGGAAGCGGACTGCTCAAAAGAGGATCTGCTTAGGTTGATAAAACTGGGATAAATTATTTTCACAGAGACATTGAAGAAGCCTCATTCCATAGAAACAGCAGGCCTGGAATACCTAAAGCGAAAATGTTACTTTCTCACAGGTTCTCTGTGAAATTCTTGCATAGTGATAATATTTTCTTCATTTGATAACAGCAAAGGGCAAAAGCACTTATTGTGGCTTAGCATAGGAAATTCATTTATATCAACAGATTTTGACAGTAACAGCCTCAACCTACAGAAAAAGTGTGACAATATAACAGTTCTTGGAAAACAGAGCAATGAACTGCTCAACCCCTTATTTATTTGCATAACCCCGGCTTATACATTGAGGACACCTCTCAAAAAACACAAGGTCATCCTTTGGAAAGTAATACCATGCATGGCTAGAGAAGATCTTTCCATTACAAGATATTTTATCACTTAAAAGACTTGCTTTGCAGGCTGCAGTCCAAAGCATGGCTCCACGGTCAAGGTCACACACATATTTTATTGACTTTTGGTAAGTTTAGGGTTCTACTAACCCTATTCTTTTAACAGTCTGACTAATTTATTGATTTATGAGGTTTCTTGCAATACAAACTTTAAAATTCATTAACATATCTGTCACACCCAATGTCACTTTATGAGTTTATTCAGCACAGTGAGTTTATAAAAAAATAAATATTATTATACAGGAATTTAAGACGCATGTAGCACCTCTAACAAAGCACTTATGGATGCCTTTTCTGAAAAACAGAAAAGTTAAACTGATTAATGGATGCATTCGTGACATAGAAATCGATTCATGTATCATCCTGTTTTTACCCCTTTCTGGATCAGAGCTTAAGAAGTGTTTCAGCATTGTGAGAAACATCAGTTATTTTATTATATTTGGTTTTTCTCTAAATAACCATATTTATATGACATCAATGTAACAGTGAAATTCACTAAATTTATCTATTGTATTTTTGTTCAACAATGTAAATCATATGGAACCATTTGTTGCTTCTGTTGCTTCTGGATTCCATGCTTCTTGCTGTTGTAAAAGGTCACAGAATTTGCTGATAATCAGATTTGTTTAAATGTCTTATTGGTGACATTAGCAGGACCTTCTACAGGTTAGTTCAGTAGCTTAACACCATTAGTTGTAGAAGGGTACAACATTTTCTTTGTAAAAAGCAGTTCTTTTCAGTTCAAATCTAGTTCATAATGAGGTAATATCTAGCACTTTTCCTCATTATAACAAAGGTATAAATCACCACTGTATGTCAGTTTCTCATGTTCTTTTTCTGCTGCTTCTCAATCTTTCAAGATAATGCCGGAGTTGTTGAAAATTTATGGATTTCTTTTTGAATGGCACTAAACAGGTCAATCATTAGCTGGACCCTACATCAGTTCTTTAGAATTCATCCAAATGAGAAAAAATATGTTTTTTAAAACTTGTATTTGTTTGAACATATCTTGGTGCTGAAAAGTAATGCAGTTTAATTACAGGAACACTTTTAAGTACAGTGCCATATTAGGATCTTTACATATGTGGGTATCAGGTAAACAGCCATCTCTAAGCTCCAAATAGGCTTTTTCCAGAGTCCTCCACTGTAAGTTCTTACTGGCTTCAAAATCCTAAAGTGTCTTTGTCTTACAAATCCACAAAGTTCCCAAAACTCAAAGACTTTCCATGGACTGGTCACTCTATCACTTCCTTACTTTCTTCTACCTCTGTTACATTGCAAAATAGAGGCTCCACCTTCTTTATAGAGCTTCCTGGTTTTAAATGCTATCCAACCAATTGTCTTCCTCTGATTGGTCATGTGACTTAAGACAGTAAGTCATTTCCCATTAGTCTCAGCACAGTGTGGCTCAGACATAAACCTCCTTCTCACCTCTACCTACAACCCTTTTACAATAAATGAAGCATTGTCAAATTATTTACCCCCTTTCAAGGTTCCACTGTTGAATTACAGATAACTTAATTTCATAGAATTAATATTTTTAACCAAAAGTGATCATGTTGGACACTGTTATGGGTGAAAGAAGTTAAATATCAGCAAAAGCTGCAAAGCTCTTGCAAAGCACTTTATAAGAGAGCACAATGATACAGCATTAAAAACTGTTAACAAATAATATTATTTGATATCAAGGTGAATGTAATGATTCTTCTTCATATAGTGCATAGATAGAAAAATGCCAGATATAAGTTAAACAGATCTTTAAATCTTATATTTTATATCTTTGTAATTTGTAAAACCTCTATGAGTAAACCAGAATTTTCAGCTGAAATTTTTGTTTTACTATAAATATGAATTTATATAAAAAATCTTATTTAAACTTGATACTTTTTTGCAGTGTTAGTGACCTTAGCAGACTAGACTGACATGTATGTCATGTCTTAGCTGTAATACCCAGTAGATGGTAATTGATATTAGGTGCTTGTTTTAGGGTGATGGTTATTGCTTTGAAGGCACATATGTTTGTTTATGGCTGACCTTCATAAGAGAAAAAGATATTACTACATTTTTTAAAAACCTGTGGCAATCTTGTAGTACATTTGAAATAATACCTTAGCATTTGACTTGCTTTTCAACACACTTGCACATACAAACTGCTGTTGAAATCCCCAATAGTCTCCTCTTCATTACAAAAACAACAGTAGAAAGTGAATTCAATTTAAATCTAAATTTGGATGAAACATGGAAAAACATACTCCAAAAGGGACAGCATTGAAATCTTTGATTAAAGTGTTGTGTTTCAGAAGCCTTGTTGGCTCACCAGGATTGGTAAATACTGCATTTATTTACAGCGCTATATCACTTTAAACTGTAGTATTTAGATCATAGAACTGTGTTTTTAGATATCAGCATGGTCTATTAATTATAAATAATCAAACATTTATTGAACAGTTGTATAAAAGATAAAATGATGCACTATTTAGAAACATACTTGTGAAAAATACAGAATACTTACTAATACTAAACTTAGCACAGAGATATTTAGGGTTTGTGGAATGCGTGTATTTATAAAGAAATAACTGATAAAGTAAAACAAAAAAATTATAAATACTGTAAATATTTGATTAGATATTTCTGGTAATGTGGTTTGTTTTGTGCTGCTTTATTCTCCATATAATATTGAAAATATTAATTAAAGTAGTTTTGGAGACAAAACTGCATTAATTTTCTTTTTGGAAACCAACACAGTAAAATCATCAGGTCCTGAAATATTTTTTTAAATTTTGTTCACTGAGCCATGACCATGGGTTCCTTAAGATCCTAGAAATGATTTTTTTTTTCTCAAAACAGACAGACAGCATGAACATCAGGTTGAGGCTTGATGTTCAGAGCTACTGTATATATAATCTAGAAAAAGCAATGAGTGATATAAACAATTATATTCTGAACCCATGTTTCAATTTTGATAATTAGTGGGGATTTCGTATTAGATACATAGGTTTGGATGAGTTACCTCTATACAATTGTATATATCAATAAAGTGGTTAGAATGATTGATTTAATGCTTGAGCAAATTACATTTTTTGTCTGAATTCGAAAATTATAATTTGAACAATTTCAAACAACTGTTTCTTTCCATTTAAAACTTCCTTACACTCTGCATTTTTGTTTTGTTTCCTTTCATAGAGCGTCAGGGAATTTGGACTTGACATCATTGAGACTCCAGAAGGAGACAAGTGGCCACAGCTAATTGTCCAACAAAATCTTGACCGTGAGCAGAAAGACACATTTGTAATGAAGATTAAAGTAGTTGATGGAGGGAACCCACCAAAATCCAGCACTGCTATTCTTCAAGTTACAATCTCAGATGTCAATGATAACCAGCCTGTTTTCAAGGAGAATGACATAGAAGTGAATGTTCCTGAAAATGCCCCAGTTGGCACTTCTGTCATCCAAGTTCATGCCACAGATGCTGACCTTGGTTCCAACGCTCAAATACACTTTTCCTTCAGCAGTCAAATGACCAATACAGCTAGAAGATTGTTTTCAATTGATACTAATACCGGACTGATCATGGTTAAACAACCCTTAGACAGGGAGTTTAGTCCAGTACACAAACTTATAGTGTTGGCAAGTGATGGAAGTTCCACCCCTTCCAGAGCTACAGTGACAGTCAATATTACAGATATTAATGATAATGTCCCATCGATAGACACACGCTACATAATGAACCCTATTAATGGAACTGTCCTCTTATCTGAAAATGCTCCTATAAATACTAAAATTGCTCTAATTACAGTGACAGACAGAGATGCTGACTTGAATGGAAAGGTCACCTGTTATACTGACCATGATGTTCCCTTTCGGTTAAAGCCTGTTTTTGATAGTCAGTTCTTGTTAGAAACTGCAGCGCCTTTAGATTATGAGACAACCAGGGAATATGCAATTAAAATAGTTGCATCAGATTCTGGGAAGCCTCCCTTGAACACCTCAGCTATGGTCCTGATAAAAATTAAGGATGAAAATGACAACGCTCCAGTGTTTCCTCAGCCTGACATTCCACTGTCCATTCCAGAAAACAATGACCCAGGAGCACAGCTGATAAAAATCAGTGCTACTGATGCAGACAGCGGTCGAAATGCAGAGATTTCTTATTCTCTAGGCTCCGATGCCCCTCAGAATTTCAGCATAGATAGGCGATCAGGAATCCTATCTGTTGTGAGAAGGCTAGACAGGGAAAAGCAAGACAATTACTCCTTCACTGTTATAGCTAAGGATAATGGTTCTCCTCCATTACAGAACAATGTTACTGTCAAAGTGATGGTCCAAGACATTAATGACAATAGTCCAGCCTTTACTCATAACGAATACAATTTCTATGTGTCTGAAAACCTACCACTATATGGCACAGTAGGCTTGATCACAGTTACAGATGCAGATGCTGGTGAAAATGCTGTTATCAGCCTTTCCATATTACATGATAATGGCAACTTCATCATTGAACCTAAGACAGGTGTTATCAAACCAAATATCACATTCGACAGAGAGCAACAAAGTTCTTACACCTTTGTGGTAAAGGCAACAGATGGGGGTCGACCCCAGCGTTCTTCATTTGCAAAAGTGACCATAAATGTTGTCGATATAAATGATAACCGCCCGGTGTTTGTCATCCCTTCTTCCAATTACTCTTATGATTTGGTGCAAACTACCACCAGTCCTGGCTCTGTGGTAACAAGAGTCTTTGCCATTGACAATGACACGGGCATGAATGCTGAACTGCAGTACAGTATTATTGGTGGTTCCCCTAGAGGGCTGTTTTCCATTAATAATAAAACTGGTAACATTACACTGCAGGAAAAAATTCTTACAACAGATCAGGGACTGCACAGGCTGATAGTTAAAGTCAAAGACTCGGGTCAACCTGAGTCTTTGTATGCCATCGTCCTGGTCCATTTATTTATCAATGAAACTATTTCAAATGCTACCTTTGTGCAGGAACAAGTGCGCAAAAGCATGGAGACCCCTTTGGATCGAAATGTGGGGGACAGTGAGTTAACACCCCAAGCCAATGGCTACGTCATCATAGTGATTGCCATTATTGCAGGCACTATGACTGTCATCCTAGTAATTTTCGTCACTGCCCTGGTGCGCTGCCGACAGACACCAAGGCACAAGGTAGTACAGAAGGGTAAGCAAAGTGGTGAGTGGGTATCCCCAAATCAGGAAAACAGACAGATCAAAAAGAAAAAGAAGAAGAAGAAGAGGTCCCCTAAGAATCTTCTTTTGAACTTTGTTACCATTGAGGAATCTAAGCCTGATGACCCCTCCCATGAGCACATAAATGGCACCTTGGACCTCCCAGTAGAGCTGGAAGAGCAGACAATGGGGAAGTATAACTGGGCCACCACACCTTCTACCTTTAAACCTGACAGTCCAGACTTGGCCAAGCACTACAAATCAGCCTCTCCACAGCCATCTTTCCAAATTAAACCAGAGACACCAGTGCCCCCTAAGAAGCACCATGTAATTCAGGAACTGCCGTTGGATAACACCTTTGTGGTGGGTTGCGACTCACTCTCCAAGTGTTCCTCTAGCAGCTCAGACCCCTACAGCGTATCAGAGTGCAGCTGCCAAGGAGGCTTCAAGACTCCAGGGACAATTCATACACGTCAGGTAATTCAGAGCTTCTAGTTGCTTACTAAATATCTTTTATTGATTCTTCAAGCCTTTCCCTTTCTACTCTGTATTTTGTATTTGGGAAAAAATGGAGGATTAGAATAATAACTTGAATCGTCCAGTAAGGTCTTCAAGAGTCCAGATTGAGAATGTAAGCTATAGTGCTATAGATTGAGAATTATGCAACCAATTTATTTCTTTACTCATCAGCTTTACTTTAATCAGGATTTAATCAGGATCTACTTTAATCCATAGGTGGCAGTGTGGCACTTTTCCCTGCCTGCAGAATAAGAGAAAGAGAGTGGATCTAGGCTGCTATGTATTTGAGCCATATGGATTGCTAAAACTAAAAAAGCAGGAGCTTGTGGCATCCTTAACCACCTTGTGTGTACAAGAATCTAAGCAATCCAGGCAGGGTGCAAAGTAATAACACCTTTCAGGATACATTAAGTGGGTTGTAATGCTAATAGTGCACAGGAAAGCAGCAGTATCAAAGAAAAGAGCTCAACCTCGAGGTCTAACATAGATAGGAATATATTAGAAACATACAAGAATGCTGCATCCTGACAAGAAGATTGCACCAACATACAGGCTTTTAGAGTCTTTTGATTGACACTTTAAAACCCAGAGTTGAGAGATTAGAGATTTTACTTGAATGTTTTTTTTAGTTTAACTGTTGTATTAATTAATTTAATTTAATTTCTTGTCTTCAAGTTTGTGTTGGACACCACATAATACTGAACTTGTACTGTCTACAAACAGATGCTTATATCACATTAACACTTACTGTAGTCCAGACCTTTTGTGAGTGTGAAATTCCTTAGAATACCAAAGCAACTGTGCAATACCTAGAATACCTATGCAACTTTCCCTTTCCCAAGTGAAGTACCAAATGTAGAGTGCCTAATAAATAAATGCAGGAAAAGGAAATAAATGTAAATTAGGGCAGAAGACAGACTGCCAGAACTGCAGAGATGCACGCTTGCTTGCTTCTGTGTTTGGCAGTAACTGAATTGTGTTTGTTGTCATAGGTCATAGGGATCAATGTAATGGGAGATCTGGTAGTTCTGTGTTTGTGTTTAATAAACAGTGCAAAACTAACTTTTGTACATAGGCGTTGAAACACTCTTTATGGTGTATGGAATGGCAACTCACTGTAGGGGTGTGTAACATGTTTAATCTTGCTTGCAATTTTGAATTTAACTTGAAGGTCCTTACACTTAATAGATTTAATTGTCAATACAAAATACATTTTTCAGTCAGTGATAATGCTGTAAAGAACAGATCCATGGGATATCATTTTGTATGAATAATAGACAGTAAATGTATAAGAGTCTTCAGTTCATATCACATAATTTTATTTAATGTATTGCACTTAACAGAAGTCTTTTCTGTTTCTCTGCATGATCTAAACATTACATTTCACTGTATTGAACTGTATTGTATCATTCTCTATTTACAAATGCCTTCTGCATACATGTAGCTTTTTCACTTGCACCAGCACACTCATGCAAATGCATTTATATTGATGTGAGAGTTGTATACAGTTTATGTTCATAGCAAATGAAGTGCCATTATGTGTGTTAGTTCCTGTGTCATCAGAGAAACACAAATTATTTTTTTTAGTTTAATTTGATCTCTCTTAAACTTCAAAATAATTTCTGGGAAGTGATTTACTTTTTTCCAAACTCTATAATCACCATTACCAGATGCATTGATAGTGTATTTGGTTTTTTAAATTCTCTTTCTTCAACCACCTTTTATTTTTAAACCAAGATAGAAGCACTGTTTCACTATTGTGCATTACTTCTAAGACTCTACAAGCCTGGTTATTAAGGAATGCAGAATACAGTTTACAATAATTGTATCCCGTGTTATCTTGTCAGAATGGCTTACAATTCTCCTTGGTTATCCATGCTGATGGTTGCTCAGGAGAATGAAAAAGTACCTCTTTTTTCCAGAAACTAAAATATGTATATTACATGGAATTGGAAAGAGGTGACATTAGGGGGCTGTGGAAGGAGTTCAAATATCCTCTTAAAAAGGTTGTTACTATAATGTAGTTAAAATATTTAATTGCCATTTTGGTGATTTATTATTTACTTTGTATCTCCTAAAAAAGATTGAAATCCTCTAAACTTAAGCATTTATATCTAATGGTATCAGTAATTGGAATATGTATAATTAAGTCTATAATACCCTGACTCCTGTAATGCAGTTTTGTAATTTTATATCAGCATTAAATCCTTTAACTTCACAATCAGTGCACTTTATATTGCAGTCGTTTCTGCAAGGGCACAACTTTTGTATATCCATGTAGAGTCTGATGGCAGTCCCATCTGCCAGCAGTTTACTTTGGGTCTTACAGTTGCATTGCTACACTGGATTAGTAGAAAAAAATAATTTTGCACTCAACATTTCATAGACTGTAGCAAACAGTACTAGTGTAATTCCTAAGCACAATCTCCTGAGAAACAGGATATTGTTCTCTCATTTAGAAAAATTAAAACTGGTGCCTTTGTAGCTCATTCCAATAGTATATTAGATTCAGGTTTTACAGCCTTTCTTCCACTTGCTCTTCTTTGCCACCTCCTCTTGCTTTCAGAGCACGAGTGCATTTTTCTTCTCTATTACTCACTTCTAGATATTTTATGTCCTCACCATTCACTGCCTGGTTTTCATTTAATTGAGACCTTTTTATTGCCAGGCAATGATTAATTTCAGGTCTACTGTGTAACTGTGACTTCACTTATCATTGCAGTTTATTAATATTACACATGAATCCATAGGAGTAACAACAAGAATGTTTTCAAGCTTGTAAACTACCTATGATTTGTTGTTTTCATACCACTGGGTATCTCTGTCCTGTGACATTTCAAACTAGATTACCTTAAATCAATTAAACAGTTCTCTTTTCTGATTATGTGTGTAAATTAGGAATTTTAAAGGTAAAACAAATTATGGAATCTATGGAATTATGGAATTGGATGAATTTGAAGAGACTTATGAGAGTTAATTTTCAGTGGGTTATGAAGAACAGAAATCGGAAACAACGCAGTCATGAATCGTCAAAACAACCTATAAATCAGGATTTTATAGTATTTTATTTTTGGTATTTTTTATGTATTCCCTTATATTGAAAAATACATTCTTGATTAAAAGGAATAAAGTGAAACATTCATATTAAGATTAAAGAGACAATGTGAATCAACATTAAGTTAACCATTATGTTCTTGTGTCATATACTAGTGTTGAAACCTTACCTGTTTAAGGATCTCTATAGCCTGGCTTAATAAGCTTGGAAAATGCCAATTATGGACCCTAAAATTAGAACAAACCTATCTGAATTTCTGAATGACTGTTTTAAAGTTTGACATATTCTATTAATCAAATTAAGCTGAATAACAATTAAACTTTAACCAAAAACATAATTGATTTAAAGCAAAGTAAGTCAGCAGGTCATGTCAGAATTGGAACATCTCTTGAATCAAGATTATAACTATAACGTCCAGTATATAGTTCCCATGAAGAAAATCATAACTGTTTGTTACATGTTTTGCTAGTTGGAATATATTATTAGAAGGGTTAGATATTATTCTTAAATGATACTTTTTCACATTTGGAAGTAGTAGTTCTAATATGTTGCCAAATTTACCTGTTAGTCTCTTTTCTTAAAAGACAAGAAAAGGATGGGGCACTTCTATTTTTTTAATTTGTCTTAACTTCTGTAAGTAAAGAACACTTTACTTCCAACTCAGTGGTTGAATTCAAGGCTTGGGTAGATATGTTTTTGATTCTTTCTGAAACCAGGTAATCTTCAGTCCATCAGCTGCTAAAGTGTCCGTTTTCAAGATGTAGTGCCTTGTGGGTTCTTACCATTAAATAAGGTACTGTATCTTGCTTGATTCACACAGGAGTAAGTGAATGGTTAGTGCACCTGTGTAGATCACTGTAATGTCTCACTAGACTTTTAATAGATTTGTGTGGTGTTTTGCAATGTGGAAGAAGTTCATGTCTGCTTTTTAAATATATCATTTTTGTGGACACATTTTACCAATAGTAATAGGATAAGCGTATGTCTTTCCAGATTTCCGTCAACAACCAACAAAGGTGATTTGAAGTAAAATGGAATGTTAACGTGGAAGGTGGGATTGGAAGGTTCTTTTCATGTGTTCAGAAACCCAAGAGAAATTTGATTCAAGTATTTGGCTCCATACAGTGAGCCAACCTCATGACTATACCACCCAAACATTTGTTTTTAAATTGAAAAGCCTCTGTTGTCTAAGGTTTGATATGATCATTTTTGATTCCATTCTTTTTCCAGGAAAGAGTAAGACGTAGTACAACTATCAAGCCCTTTGTGACTTGGTATTCTTTAATAAAGAATTCCCTGAGACCCTAATTTTCTGTTCTTTACATTTAATCTACAATAATTAATTACAATATTCATAATTAGTTGAGACAGGTAAAAAAAAATATGTCTCTGTGTCTGTTCAAATTAGAGATTGCCAATACCCAGAGCACACTTGATGTCAGATTTAGGAATAACAAAAACGAGTACATCAAGAGACTGGACTAATAATAATAGTTCCTTACACTTATATAGTGCTTTTTGTACACTTCACTCAAAGTGCTTTGCAGGTAGTGGGGACTCCACTCCACTACTACCAATGTGCAACACCCACCTGGATGATACGACAGCAGCACATAGTGTGCAAGTACATTCAACATACACAATCTAATAGGGGAGAGGAGAACAGAATGATGAAGCGAATTCATAGATGGGGATTATTAGGAGGTCATGATTGGTAAAGGCCAATGGGAAATTTGGTCAGGACACCAGAGTTACATGCCTGCTCTTTTTGAGTATTTTTAATGACCCCAGAGAGTCAGGATCTCAGTTTTACATCTGATACGAAGTACGGCACCTTTTTACAGTATAGTGTCCTCGTCACTGTACTGGGCCATTAGGACCCACATAGACCGCAGGGTGAGAACCCCCTACTTGCCCCACTAACACCACTTCCAGCAGCAACCTTAGTTTTTCCCAGGTTTCCCGTCCAGGTACTGACCAGGTTCATACCTGCTTAGTTTCATTGGGTTGCCAGATGTGAGCTGCAAGGTGATGTGGCTGCTGGCTAAAAGGTTTAAGTGGATCCTGAACCTATAAAAATAAAATCTTAAAGTGAAATATTCTCTTAACTCTTAAGTGAGTCCATTTGATCATTTTATTTAGTCTTTAAAGTTGTAAAGTTTTTGTCTACTTCAAATCTGAAATACAGGAAGCTTGTGTACCCTCACTTTCCTACTCTACCTATGATCATGATGATTCAGATGCTGTAGTTATAGTTGTAAAATATTAATCAAGTGCCTTTGTAATAATACCAGTATTGTATTATATTGTATTATTTTCTGTAGTTCAATTTCAATATTCCAATGCCTTGAATTGGCCACTTTTCACATTTACAATTTGCTATGTTGAGATATAACCACCCTTTTTTTCAGTAATCAGATGTTATCATATCTGGGTATTCCAACTCTTTTCTCTCAATATCTGCTGTAACTCTGCCTGAATGTACTGCTTTTTTCTATAAGATCACTGAATTACACTGTCCAGTATAACTACTCAATCACTATACAATGCATTTCCAATAGTCAAACAAATTTCTCAGGATTTTATTTAATATGCTGCTGTCAATGAACCTGTAATCTAAAAAAATTACAGGATTTTTTACAGGTGCAAGTATCCCTGTAAACCACAGTTGAATATAATTCTTTAAAAGCATATAGTCTCAGAATAAATCAGATATTAGTATTGTCAATATGGGGCAGCATGGTGTCGCAGTAGTTAGCATTGCTGCCTTGCAGCACTGAGGTCCTATGTTAAGTTCCTTAGGTAATATCTGCATTTAGTTTTTATGTTCTCCCCATGTTCAGTCGGGTTTCCTCCGGGTGCTTCATTTTTTACTCCCAGAATCCGAAGACATACTGGTAGGTTAATTGGCTTATGGTAAAAATTGATCCTGGTGTGAGTGTGTGCATTTGTGTTTGTGTTTGTCCTGTGATGGACTGGTGTCCCATCCAGGTCTTATCCTGCCTTGCACCTGTTGCCTGAAGGGGTAGGCTTTATCAGATAAAGTGCTATGAAAATAAATGGATGGATTAAAGAGTAAATGCATACAAGTTTGATTCTCAGTGGAGACAAACTTTTGGCTGTTTTGAGTACTAAAAGAGTCATGGTTCATAATAGCGGAATTATGGAGTTATTTACTTTTCATGTAATTGCAATTCTAAATCTACAAAAAATAATAATTATCTTTAAAAGTTAGGAAAGGACCACTTCTCTTGTTTATTTTAAGAGAAATGATTGAACAACCATTTGGTTGTAGCAATAACACATTGCAAAGTATATTACCATATTATACATACAGTCTCTGGAAGGCTGAAGGCATGGAACACGATACTGCAGACAATACATTGTGTAGTTTATTATTGCTTAAATGGCAGCTGGCAATGGAATTCTAAAATACTGTGACATATATTGAATTAAAGTGATGTAAGAAAAGTAAGATTCTATGGTTTTACATATTAAGACATATCTGACCTTCACCTAGTCCTCACCAAGTCCTAAAAGTAGATAAACCAAACCTTATGTGACAAATAGCATACACAGATTTTATTTTGTCATTATTTTTTTAACAAAAAAACTCACCCAGCATTTAGAAGCCTGGTTTATGATAGAAAGGTATGCCACGGATCTGATGACATTATTTAGCACTGTTGTTCATATAACATAACCCTTTTATCAAAAACAGATGTGCTTTTGAGGCTACAACAGCCATATAACATGAAATGAATATAATACTACTTAAAGTGTATTAAAAGTATCTGCAGTTTTTATTATAAAATGTCACTAGAAGGAGCTAAACCAGTTGTCTCTTGTGATATTCTTAGAAAGACATCAAAAACATTTCTGCCTTGATGTTCTGCCTCAGTAAACTAAACATTTTTCATTTCCCAGACTTACAGTAGAAGTGCATGCAAGCTACGAATCCTATATAATCCTTCAATTCATAATACTTTGGATAAGCTGTTTTATTTGTATCATGTTTTCTATGCTGCAGTTTTATAAAGGTCATTGTTTGTGTCATATTAACCTCTCATTGCTACATTTGAATATTATTTAATGTTTATATCTTCCTTCAGACAACTTTTTCATCTCTACTGTAAATGCATTTATTTATAATCTGTATTATCCATTCTTTCAAATGCTACCCTGGAAAAGCAAACAAATGTTATGCCAGATGTATTGTCACAAACTGATTTCCTGGATTGCCTTTTTTTCCTCTCTGCCATCAGTGGCCTATTTCCAACTGACTTGCTGTTCAGTTCATGCGAACAGTTCATAGTATTGCATTTTTTATCCCCCCTGCAAGCACATGAAAAACACGGAAATCGCAATATGTGTGCTTCACTGCACCTAGTGAAATCACAGCAAGTGTTGGCGCAAGTGCTTAGAATCCAAAGAGTCACTTTCTATTATGAAGCTCATTAAGTATCCTGCAGATATGCAAATTCACTTTGGTAGACAACGGTTTGCATAGAACAGAACTTGTGCTGTTTAAGCTTCCTCTGTATGTTTATAAACAACCATTGCAAATGTCTTTTAAAATGTGTTAATGAAAAATATTATTTTATTGTAATATAATTTGTTTACTTTTATAATTAAAATTATGGTTTAAGTATACTCCATATAGGTTGCTCTGTTATTTTCTTGACCAAGCCTAAATATGATCACTCGTTTGGGAACTACAGCATAGAACTATGGTAAAACCAGATGATATGTAGTTATACTATATATTATATTCAGAGGAATTGTGCCAAAATAGCAAAAAAACAACATTTTTCATGATAACTGTACATCAATTATTCCATGTAAAGACTGCATTAAAAATCACCCTTAATATTCAAGTGAGTTATCTTGGTTTCTGCCTTTTTTGCACTCCTGTAGTGATAAAGTTATTAATGTTCTGAGTTCTGTACGAATCTAGAAAGAAAGTATAACATTTTATAAACATTAGGCAGTAATGATAGTTTAAAGCAGAAGGGTGGGTGCTGCATTAGCGTGGTGGATATACAAAATACAATTAACATCAGCTATGCATGCTTTTGAAAGAAAAATGTATTTTAGAGGTATTTATGTAGAAACGATTCTTCAACTCAAAGATTGTATATAGTTATGTTATTTTATTGTACACATATATAAACTTAATATTAATAAGTACTCCAAATTCCATGATAAAGTACTACAACCTACCTATATCTATCTGTCTGTCTATATTACAGGAGACGGCACTGAAACCACCACTCTATGGCACACTCTATGGCACAGGTACATCATGCTCCCACAGGATAAAAATCAATCTCTAGCTGGCAATACCTAGAAAAAGGAAGGTACTGACTGAAGAGCTGAAAATACATTAGAAAAAAAGGTTCTACAGCCTCAAACAAGACTCTAGATTTAATTCCCTAAATTTGTTAAGAAACCATACTGAAATAAACATTGTCTTGCTGCCTAATTGTTAAAGCATTGTTTAAACTCTTATATTAAATTTAGGATGTGTGTGTGTGGGGGTATGTCTTCTTTGTCTTGTTTTGTTTCTATAAATACAAAAGAAGAGCTTCTGTTTTGAGTCTCAGGTATGCCAGTTTCAAATGCTGCTTCAATAGAGACTAATTGATATGTTAAAATCTCAGATGACAAGAAAAAATAAACCTAAATAACAATCATGTACTGTAAATATGTGGGTATGTGTATTCTATCACAATCATATAAGTGACTTTCTTACACCATGAATTGGACCCTTAGATTGTCTAATGGTTACTTTGGTATCTACCATTTCATTCCCATTTCCATCCTCTTTTTCGTCTTGTTATGAATCAGTGACCTATTTCATTAATGCTGTAGCGTCTGCCACACTGCCTCTTAAGACTTTTTGTCCACTCACTGACTATCATAATTCCCCCTTTAGTGCACTCCCACTTTAAAGCACTGCTTGAGTAATAGTATAAAGTGTGGCTGACTTAATATGCATGACCTTCACAAGGGGGTGGGAATAGTTTGGGTAACTGCTTCTAGGCTATAATGCTTCGCGGCTTCACTATTGGCTTTTACAGTATGTCAAAAGATACTTACTCTAGAAAATATTATCTAGTAATTTTCACCGAGTTGCAGTCATAAATGGGCCAAGAGTCAACTGGTAAAAAAAAACAAAAACTGACATTAGTGTACAATGTTGAAGCAGAGGACATAGTTTTATTGTGAGAGTGGTGCTTTTTTACTTGTCAGATGTTATACAGAAGACCAAAATGAGGTGTGTTCAATAAATTATAATTGTAAGTAATATTAAAGTCTACTTAAGAAGGTGTGACTCCAAATTAAAATTTCAGTCTCTCTTTAGTAAAGCTTCTAGTGTTTTTATAGCTAAGGACCATACTCGGATGCACTTATTTATTTATTGTTATGTACTTATTAAAAAGATCAATTAAAAAAAAAGTTGGAACATCTAAATCTTTCCACCAGAATCCATTGAAGTGTAAGTTTGTACTTATTGATACTTACTGATATATTGAGAGATGCAGGCATACATTTGTGATTTATATATTGGATTTAGCCTTAAACTTGCTTTACTCTCAATCTTAAATCTTTAATCTTGAATCCCCATCTAAATGTACAATTTAGAAGTGGAAAATTGGACCATATATTTGTTTTAATAATTGGTAGTTAACTGAAATGTATTCTTAACATATTTGCCTAGAACCAATACCCCAATACCTAGTTGACAACTAGTAACTTACTGCTGTATTATGCAAATTATGATGATTTTAATGCCAATGAGCAGGTTCATACATTTGTGCAATCACAAATAACAGTGGCTTAAGTTTGCTTTAATCTTCACACCTTTGATAACAGTTAAATAGTTCCCTGTCAGATAAAATGTTTGAAAAAATATTCTCCACTAAAATTCAACCATGATAATAATCCTTCTTTCAAAATCCAATATGACAAATGCAGGAAAATTTCAGTGTAAAATATCAATCATTAGAATTGCCTGTTGTTTTTAAACAACAAAAAACTTCACTAAGTAAAAGAAGACTTTTCTTTTGCTGGACTTTTACATCATGTGGAATATGAATATGCAGCGTAAAGAAATATATTCTCTGTGTTTTATTTTAAAGGTGATTTACCAATGTGTAAAAACAATGAAGTGTACATACTAATGTTTTATGTATTTTTGGGTTCCTGAAACTCATTAAAGTCTTTTGCATTGTAATACACACTCCAAGAGTCTTTCTTACATTTCTGATATTCCAGTACATCATAATGTCAAAACTGAAATAATTTACTCAATGATTCACAAATAAACACACCCTGAATGTTCTGTTCACCAAACAAAACAAAATTAACATTTTGCATATTATTTAGAGTATTGTATTAACAGATAAGTGTGTGCTTCCAAGGGAGTGGTCTAAGTAACTAACATTTTAATAATATCCATGCTTACAATTGTTATAGTTTTCCTCTGTTTACTGGAATGCCAACAGCTACATATAGTATTACAATCACACTTACCACGAAGAAAATTCTTTACCCATTAACTAATTATAGTTGCATTAACGGATTTATTTTTCTCACATTACTATAAGATAATTGTTTTTTAAAAAGAAATTTTATGAGCATGTTATTTTTAAGCAGTGACAATTTCAAATGTTAACACGTTTGATCATGGAGTTATGCTTTAGTCTACCTTAAAATGAAAGAACATGATGTTGCAATGGAGACATCTTGAAAAAAATCATATGAATTACTTCATATCTTCAATATCTAACCATATCAATATACTTCTAAAGATAACAGTGGTCAACTTTTATTTTACAAATAAAAGATAATCAGGAACACATCATACAAATATTTAAACCAAAGGGAAAGAGAAAAGGGGAAAAATGTAACAGGTCTAACTCTGCTTAAGAAACAGCTAAGCAATGAGGACAAATAACAGTATTCAAAGTTGCTGTTATTTGTTGTATTTATTGAATGATGCATCTGTTTGTCTTCCATTGCATTTCATTGTGCTTTAATGTGTTTAATTTCAATGGTAAACAAAATGTCTTACATTTTGCTATTTTTTAATGGAGTTACATGATTTCTTTTGACCTCAGCAAAGGTTTTCAATGGCAACATCTACTTTTATACAATTAATAAAAGACAGAATAATGTTATAAACCATTGTATGTATTATACTAATTGTTTGACACTTAAATAACATGCAAAAGAGCTACCTCAAAAACACTAGCATTTTTTTTATTCAACGCAATTTCACGTGAGGCTTCTATAACTGCCATATAACAAACCAATCGCTAAACCAAACCAAACTTGTATAGCATGTGATTTATCTATTATCTTTATTTATAAATACATTAATTAAATTAGATCAAGTTACTTAATTCTTACAATATTGTATCTTTCCATACATGTGAATTTTTTTTAATTTAATATTTAACATTATTGTACACACAGCTATAATCGTATACTGAGATTCTGATCCTTGCATTAAAGCTGCTAAGATGTTTTTTTCTTCTTGTAAGACATTTTACTGTTAAAGCTTATGTGTTGCATTGTAGTCAGCTTTGACAAAAAAATGATCTCATACCATAGAAATACCTTACTGAGTCATGCCTGCATTTGGCTGGGATGAAAGCACTTAAACTATCATGAGAGAATATTTAAATTGGTAGAATGAATTTGACTGGGGTGTCTGGAATTCTTCTGAAATTCCTCTGGTGCTCATTTGCAGCTACACATTTGGAGCTATTATGTTTTCACGTATAGATCCTGGAGTACATATTGATAATTTAAAGCCAGCTAGTGTAGATGAGTGTGAATTTCCCCTGACTTTCATCAGGTTTAGGATGACATTAAAAGGTCATCTGCCTGTGTTACGTTAGGATGAAAAGCATAGGAGAAAAATGGTTTTGAACATTATATTCTTGACATTTTGATTTATAATTAATGAGATTTTGGTTTTCAATTGAGCTAGTGAATGTGGTGGTGTAGTATCTACTGGCATCTTTAATTACATTAGTACATAGATATACAGTAACTATCTGCAGTATACATCTTTACATAGTAGATAGCTGCATCAGCATACATAGGCTGCAAAGGAACAAGTAAAGGTTTATTCCATGTTGAAATGAGAAGAAAGGAAACACAACATTTCGGCTGTGGAGCCTACTTTGGGTGTGAAGACATAAACACGTGTTTCTTTTCATCTCTTTCAGCATGGAATAAACCTTTACTTGTTCCTTTAAATCTTTACTTATAGTACTTTTTATCTACCTCACATTTACATAGCTAAAGGCTATTTTAGTTTCTTGGAATCAGACAGCTGATAAGCAGCCGAGAAATACTAAGCATTATATATATTGAAAAGATAATATTTTCTTCTAAATGTAAAACTTTATCATTGGTTCTACAGAGACTAAACAAAGTTCCATCTATGCTGGTTTATAATAACAAAATACATATTCATAAAACCCTTCCTTTACAAGTTTCCAGTGTCAGGAAAATAATGTAGCTGTGGGTGTGTGGATGATCATTAAAAATTGGATTTGGCGTCAGAACTGGAATTAAACTCCATTACGCATACAGGCACACTCTCACTACCAGTGAAAATATGCTGCTTTGCATTAATTAAAAACAAGAGCCATTAACCTGTAGTAACACAAATGTTACTAGAATAAAACAAAATCTTTAATTATTCTGTTTAAATCACAGTGTACTAGATATATCCTCACTTCAGGATTTGCTCTTTTGAATTTCCTGTGTAGTGTTACGCTCAGAAAATTCAAGTATTGGTATTTCCGTCTCTGTATAATTAGAGTCATCAATTGAATCTATTTGTAAGGAAACATTAAATGTAAAGTAGAATCTCTTTGAAAGGAAACATGATATTTAACTGTAGTTATAAATAGTATAAATTATAGTATAAATATATACTGTAGTCTACATTGGTATGCTACCACTATACAACATTTTGCTCTTATGTGTTTACTACAGATGGGATTCTGCACAGGATGCAATGTAATTAAATATAGTTTAAATAATGTTGATACCAAGGGCATTCACATTATAATGATATAGTACTAAACATAATTGAAGAGTCTATGTGAAATTAATCAATTGAAATCTAAAACATAGCTGACTGGAATTATAAACTAATCACAAACAATTGCCATGCTGCTAATTAGAATGAAAATGTCTCAGTATTTTGTCAGACAATCATGGTTCAATATCTCTTCCACAGATAGTGACACTAGCTTTGCCAAACAGTTCTAGCTTAAATAAAGATAAGGGGATATTATACATTTATAGCAAGTAACCTGAACATCTATTTTCTGAAATGGTAATTGAAATCAAATACTTTAGCTTGAATTAGTTTTAAATGAGACTCACGATAGTTTCTAAAACTTTTATACAGTCATTTTCTGAAAGACACAAGACTATATATACTTTTAATTACACAATATACTTTCATAATATTTTAAAAACATTTTGCTTTAATAACAACATTCAGCTTTTCTAAAGCAGTTGCCTCTTTTACTGCTACAGCCCACTTTTCAGGGACAAGGGAAAAGAAAAGTCAAAGTAAGTAAAATCGTTGTGCTGGATAATCCACATGTGGATCTTCCTAACTTTAGCTGAAGGGAGAACAACATTGACAAAACACATTGGATTGTTTTCGCTTAATTTCATCCACGGAGCATCTCTGTCATTGTGTGAACATTTAGAGAAAGGCTTCCCTGCAGAGCATGTTAGTACAGAATGATTAGCAGAGCATTTAGAAGCAGCCATGGCCTGGGAATAATGTGACCAAGCCCCCTAGCTTTGCTGGCAAATTTCAGCACAATTTGTGCATGTATTGTGCAATGGTGTGTGAAAAGTGAATATGCTGAATTGCTGTACTCAAGACATTTCTCATCATAGTCATTGCCAAATCACTGCTAAACTAAATAATTCAATCATTTATTATGTGTGTATTCTTACCATGATAATCAAATTAACATGAAAGCCAAAACAACAAAAAGTTATTTTAAAATGTGTTCAAGTCAGGAGATTTACTACAGGGAAGCTGTATACTTGGATCTCCATCTTGCTAGATGGAACATGTCTTACCTTTGAATTATAGGTGGTAAACATTTAATAAAAAATGAGGTGTATGTATTAAATTATATATATTCCCTCATTTGCAAAAACCATGCTTAAACTTGAACTGCTGGCATTTGTAATTATTAGGAGTGCTATTTGCAATGCAAACATTTTTTATATGAATTGTGCATAATTTATTTCTCTCTTATATAAGAAAATAAAACATTTTTCTTATGAAAGCTGTATTTTTAAAATTTTGTTATAATACTATAACAGCTTGCTTTATTTATCATAAAGTGTAAATGGGATATAATGAACAAAGAAAATTAAATGGTTTGTTTTGTGGTTTTCAAACACTTCAGAATTGTTCCTAAAACAATTAACTGAGCAGTTAAGAGAAAAAAACATTTAAGTGTAATGTTGCTACTAATAATTTGTACTATTTCAGTGATCCTATTTGTGTATTTCTGAATTTTCTCTGAACATTAATCTTCAGATATACAAATTTATTTGTTGTGCCTTAAATTATTTTCTTTTCATGCCCTTATGCCTGTGACATTTTCTCTTAATGTTTTCTTTAGGTTTCCTGTGGTGAAATAGTGTAACCATATCTATATTAGCCCTTATTAGGTGTTTTGCAGGAGTTTTCAAAGATTTTTTTTATTTCAAACCTTCTATAGAGCAATATATTATTGCTATTATAAATGATTTTAACACAATTTGTAGTTGTAGCTATAACATATTTTGAGGGAGAAAAGGACTTTAAAACATTATCTTTATACAAGAACCTTGTACCAATTAGAAAGTCACCAATGTGAGATTGAAAATTGAGCACTGTTTGACAGTAATCTATACAGTCAGTATATCTTAGAAACAATTGCAAGCATTAAAAAGAGATCACACTTTAATTTAGAATAGAAAATTTTATTATTTGCTTTTAGTATCTCATTTAACACATCATTAGAGGCCATAGCAAGATTAAATGAAACAATGAGAATTAATTTGAGAGATTTTACCCATCTATGGAGAACTTAGGTCCCCCTAGTAGCATTAAATAGTTAACTGTTTTGTTTAGTTTTTGCTTTACATATCTTAAATTATTTCATT